CTTCTGCACTACAGAACTGCGTGGAAGATGGGCACACAGAATACGGGGTTTAACAAGTGCTATCTACACTTCAGGAGGGAGTCACGGGCCTTTTTATTGAGGTGATAGATTTAGTATATAAATATCTGAGGAAGCATTAGTAGAGATTTGACTACGATTACCTAAACGAATTAATAAAAGTAGATCCTTCATTGCTTTGTAAAAATAGAATGTTTTATGGATATGCCATATTTAAAAATAAAATAAATAACAATAGTGTTACTTAGGAGTCATGTATTATATCAAAATAAAAATCAGTCACATAAATCCTTGTTAGGATTAATAGAAGTGACCATAAAGGCACATTCTCCACTCATGTAATATTCAGATGACCTAAAGGAGAACACCATGTTATTGAAATACAAATAAAATGAGGATGAGGATTTTAATATATTCTATATAATTTGTGGAGTCTAATGTTGAACACCATAAGTACCACGTTGGAAATATTTAACATTCTTACGAATCATGATATGGGCATTGCAAGAAATATTTTCACTTTTGGTTCTAAGCCAATTCCATTTGTATTTTCCCATTCAAGAACAATGTAATCACTTTTGGATTGTGGGTACATTATTGAAGGCATTGGCAGACTTGCGGTCCTTTTCTTTGACGTATTTGGTAGTGTCTCACTATGAAACTTGGACTCCTACTGGTCCTCCTGTCTCAGCCTCAACAGCTCTGGGATTACAGGTGTGTGCCACCATACCTAGACTCGGTGGGGGGCTCAGCATGCTCAGAGGGCAGCGCATGTGGTACCGGGGATCGAACCCCCATCCTCACACTTACCTAAGCAGGCTCTTAGTCTTCTGGGGTATCTCACCAGCACTTCATTTTTTGAAATCATAAAAAAATAAGAATTTCATTTACATGTCTGTGACATACTGCACCCATCTTAGAACCCCCAAATGCCATCTGAAATAAGTTGAAACGAACACTTCAGCTGCACTTCTCAGCACACCACCAGGAAACTGTTCACACCTTTTCACTGTTCAAACTCACTTATTGTGAAAGTTAATATGGAATAGACCTTTGAATGTATTAAGATGGGAAAAACACACATTTATGAGGAAAATGTAATATTAACCTCCCTAGAAGTCAGTTTTTAACTTTATTTCAAGTGCAATACAATTATTTGTCCTTTTGACAGAAATATATCTTTAAAGGTTCTAAAAAACGTAAGGTGAATAACAAAAAAAGAAAAGGAAGAACCTTACTACTGAATATATTCTAATTTGGTTTCATGGCTGATATAAACTTTAACTTCAAAATACATATATTATGATTTCAAATGTCCCTAATCCTCTCTGAAATAGATCAAGACAGATGTGCATCGTATCATGTCATTACTTTGAATATCTATTTTTCATACAGTATGGAAACATAGTATTTTTTAAATATTGTGTGTGCACATGTAGCAAACAATGCCTCCAATCATATCAGGCAATACATGACTTTGGTGATATAATTCTCAAGCATACATAGTGTATCAAATAAATCAGAATACATATTTAAAATCATATGCACCTGAAAATCCTGTGCATTGATGTTAAAAGCACACCGAGACATACATGCATTCTATATTATATGTACTTTTTTGATCTTTTAAAACATTTTTAAGAGAGAATACAAAATGGTAAATGAAAAAGAAAACAATATAAGTGATTCAGAATTTTAATAAAAAATAATAAGCATTCAACGAAGGTTTTTTTATATCACAGAATGTTATCCTCAAATTAGTCATTGAGACTTTTTCATATGATATTTTTATTGAAATATCTGGGGAAGCATTAATAAAGATTTGACTTATATCACATAAGTGAAATAAGTAACACAATGTTGATCCTTCAGTTCTTTGTGAAAATACAATGGTTTATGAATAGGCCAGATTTCAAAGGAAAAGAAACAAGATATAGTTTTATTTAGGAGTTAATCTCTATATACCACTCTGTTAATTTGTGTCTTGAAAATCATGGAAAGTGAGGTGTGGTGAGGCCTGCCTGGATTCCAGGGCTCTGGGAGGTGAGACAAGAATATATTCAGTCAGAACACACCAGCAGCAACCTAATGACTTCAGGAGAGCCTCTTTCAAAATAATACAATTTAAAGCGTTTAGGACTATATCTCAGTGCACAGTTTGAGCTCAATCACACATAAAGGAAAATAACACAGAAAGAAAGAAAAAAAGCAAAAAAACTCAAAAAAAAAAAAAAAAAAAAAAAACCACAAAAAACCCAATTTAGTCCAAGAAGCTCCAATGTGTTTTTGGCATAGGCCTTTAAAAAAATGTAGGCAAGCAACAAATTTAACTTTTCCCAGACGTGGAGCAGTGTGTGAAGTGTTCAGATCACCAATATGCCAACTCTGGGAGAAAGCACTGCCTAGATAAGTCTGTGATTTTTCCGCCTTATGAAGACCCCCTGGGGAAGGCTCTGGCTGGCACTGCCCTGAGTCTCTCTGTTCTCACAGCTGCTGTTCTTGGGCTCTTTGTGAAGCACAGAGACACTCCCATTGCCAAGGCCAACAACAGGGCTCTCAGCTACACCCTGCTCATCTCCCTCACCTGCTGTTTCCTCTGCTCCTTGCTCTTCATAGGTCATCCCAACACAGCCACCTGCATTCAGCAGCAGACCACGTTTGGAGTTGTGTTCACTGTGGCTGTTTCCACTGTCTTGGCCAAAACAATTACTGTGGTGCTGGCCTTTCAGGCCACTGCTACAGGTAGAATGCTGAGGCATCTGCTGGTATCAGGGGCACCAAACTCCATCATCCCCATCTGCTCCGTGATCCAACTCATTCTCTGTGGATTCTGGATGGGCACAAATCCACCCTACACTGACAAAGATGCACACTCTGAGCATGGCCACATCATCATCGTGTGCAACAAGGGCTCCCTCACTGCCTTCTGTGTCCTGGGATACCTGGGCTCCCTGGCCCTGGTGAGCTTCACTGTGGCTTTCCTGGCCAGGAACCTGACTGACACCTTCAATGAAGCCAAGTTCCTGAGGTTCAGCATGCTGGTGTTCTGCAGCGTGTGGGTCACCTTCCTGCCTGTGTACCACAGCAGCAAGGGGAAGGCCATGGTGGCCATGGAGGTCTTCTCCATCTTGGCCTCCAGTGCAGGGCTGCTGGGCTGTATCTTTGCCCCCAAGTGCTACATTGTTTTGGTAAAATCAGAGAAAATATTTTTCATTGGGATTAGAGACAAAACACGTTCTATCAAAAATAAGTCCTCTTATCAATAAACCTGTTTCCTAGTATACATAGAGGGCCTGGATTCAATGCAATAACATACCTGAAGTCACATAATAAAGTCCACTATAGGTCTCATATTCTTACTGAGTAATGCAATTTATTCTAAAAACAAACTGTTTTCTAAGAACTGTAGTCCTCATCTCTTGAAGTTGAATTTTTTTCTAGATATTTTGTTTCTTTTTCAAGCCAGAATTTATCTTGTTGTTGCTATGACTGTATTATCAACTTTATCTTGTCTTTGTTTTGGCTTTCTCAATATTTTTACTCAAAAATAATAAATTATTTCCAGTATGACACTGTTTCTGAATCCTTTAATGTATTTAATTGCTTATCTCTTTTGAGGAGTATCCCTTCTTCTCTGTGCTAATTATTGCATATATTCATAGTAGTATACATATTTCTCTACTCACTCTTCCCTTTTGCAATTAGTAAGTGTTTTCTCTAACAAGGATTTTAAGGTTCTAGATTTGGCTGATCATGTGTAATTATAATCACTGTTGATTATATGATACCAATGTATTGGATTTGTGGGATACGTTGTGCAATAACTTGTAGATATGTGGTAGAACATTTTTCTGTCCCAGAATTATATTTCCTTTTATCCATATTAATATTCCTTTACTGACAGCTATATTTGTGTACAATGTATGTTTGTGCTATACTATATATGGTTTATTCAATAAGCTGTCTTGGTATATTGATATCCAGGTATTTTACAAGGTGTTTCAGTAATGTGATAAGAAAGAGTTTACCTGCCATATGTTCTGTGATATATATATATATATATATATATATATATATATATATATATATGGAATTATATTATTGCATACATATGTTTTTGGTTTTTAAAAACATATATGAGGGCCAGCAAGACAGCTCAGCAGGTTAAGCCCCTCTTAGGTGAGTGCAGGGCTGGGGTTTGATCCCAGGCGCCACACACCACTTTGGCCCCAGCCCGGGAGCACTGAGCTGGAAGCTGACTCTGAGCACATTGGCATGTGCCTGTAATACCAGCGCTGGGCAGGCTGAAAACACCAGGAGCACTAGGAAGTGGAGCTGGGTTGATGTTCAGATCCAAAGAAGCTAGGAAATTGTTCAAATGTGTGCAGGTGGGACTAGGACTCAGTGCCTAATGCAAACAAGCTACATTAGTCCAGAGATAAACAGCCTCTCTGGTGAAGTTCAGCTACTGGTCAGTAGGCAAACTTGTGTCACATATTATTAACTTTACAAAACTATAAAGGATTGTTTTGGGGTTGAGATAGTCTTGCCTATCAGGCAGACCAGCCACCACCTAGTCCAGCTTTTGTCTTCTCCTCTATCTTTTCTCATTCCTGCCACCGTTTCTCCTTTGGTAGAACCAATCACAGTTAGAACAACGGATTCCTAGCTAGTGAGACCTTGTAGTCAAACCATATAACAATCAAATATATGAAAATAATAACAATAAAAAATAAAAATAAACAAAATCATACATGATCTGAGCACTCTGGCAGAGAATGCCTAGAAGGCTTTAATAGACAAGTAGGTATACAAGGAGATGTACAAATGGATAAGAAGTCACAAGATTGACTTTGCACAGTCAGCCACAGAGTCAGGCGGAAGCATGCAGAGGGCATCTGCGCAATGGACACTGGAGCTCAGCCGTGTGCCACAAAAGTCCGTTTCAGGAGACCAATGTGTCTGTGACAGAAGAGTCTACAATGGAGGCTGAGGATCCAAGACAGAAGCTGAAAAGTTTGTCTTGGAAGCCAGGAAATGACATCGAAGCTGAAGGTAAAGAGTAGAGCTCCTCCAAAGAAAACGGAAACGTCTGTCTTTGCTCATTTCCCTCTTACACAGTTCAAGTGATGAGCCACTCTGGGGTGTGGAATGCTGAGCCAAGTTAGATAAGCTCCTAAACTTTTGAAGTTGACTCAGTCCATTGAGCAGTACAACACACATCTGTCTGAAATGAATATTACCTAACTAGGTGGAGGTATTCACCGTGTGCACACACCCAGTTGTTGGTTTCGGAGTCATTGCTTTCCCTTTCCATGTTAAATTTAAGAACTCCAATTATAATCTTAAATATTTATGTCTTTTTCTATGTATTTTGTCATTTTACTGCTCTGACTCATCGTGATCCTCCTGTTTTCAGCCTCTCCAGTGCTGGGAGTACAGGCAGGCACCTCTACACCTGGACTCTGGCCGGCTCAGTCCACCCTGTGGCCGGGGCTGCCATGGCATATGGTGCTGGGGATTGAACCATGAGCCTTGGGTTTGCCTGACCTTGCCTAAGCAGGAGCTTTAGTCTGCTGAGCTATGTCACAGGCCCACTGAGCACTTATTTCTGATTAAACCCTTAATTGGTCACAAGGTGTGGTTCTTTGACTCTGTTGACAGTATTTGAACTCAAAATTGGCATTTATTTTAAAAGGAGACAGTAATTGTAATTTGCATTGGAGTATTGAGAATACATATGCAAGAAAAAGCAATTTGTAAATTAATGGACTGAAGGAGTGGTTACAAGGACAGGAGGATGGAAGCAGGATGGTGGGTGGAAAGGAGTACTACAGGCCAAGCAGGCAGTAGATTTCATGGACACCTCCAGGGAAGCAAAGAGAGAAGGATGAAAGAGGGAACACAGAAACAAAAGTGGAGTTGGAGATTTATTCTTTTGCTGCTGTCTTCATATCATTCCAATATATTCATCAAAGTTCAATACATTTAAAAAACATAATAAAAAATGCAATAATTTGTCATTTCTCAACCTGAAGCAAAGTTGAAGGAATACAGTATTCCACCTCATGGTGTTCCCCTCACATCTGCACAGCCCCAGCTCCTGGTGTGACTGAACCACCTCCTGAAATAAGTTCCTAGTTACCTGGGCTCTGGGCTTCCTTTCCAGTGTCCACTTTCTGTGTTTCAATATGCTAGAGCTTCTCTACCTGGCACTTTCAGTCCTTGCCAAATGCCACCAACAAACAAGTTTCAAAGGCTTGCAAACCATTTGTTCAAGCACAGTGACAGAAATGCCTCCAATTGTCTGGTACCAATATCTGTGTTAGTCACTTCTTCATTAAGGAGACAATATACTGAATGCCTGGGATGTATATGCAGAGAAGTTTGCTCTGTCCGATAGTTTTAGTTGCAGTTCAGCAGGTTGTGAGCGAGAGAAGGCAGCGTGGAAGGACATGACAGAAACAAATATTCAACCATGACATTCAGGAAGCAAAGAAACAAGGGGAGATTGGAGGACCAGGACACAGAGCCTAGGATTCCGCAGCAAGCTACCTCCAGACAGGCCCTGCCTGCTAACAGCACGTGTAGGTACTAAACTCACCTGGAGATGAATCTACTGATGAACACAGGGCCTCATGATGTAATCATTATCAAAACACCAGATTCTGAGGGACACATAAAAGAAGTTGTGGGAACACAGGTGCAAGGAAAGGAAAGTTGATCGAGACCTTCCTGGTGCCAGAGTCATGCTAGGCCCTCTGTGCTATGTCTGCAGCAGCCTGAGGAGGAGAAATCATTCCACAATTTCAGATTCAATCAGAGTATGTGAAGAGCAAAGTGCTTCACTGAGGTCCCTTTCCTGGACCCCGGACAGTACCAGGACTCAGGAAGCAGTACTCAGGGTGAGAAGACAGGTTAAAACTCACTCATTTGCCTACCAGAAAATATAATGAAACAGCCACTAGAATCAGTGAAGCCAACACACTGTACTGGAAATTGTGCCACACAAGGAAAGCCATATCAAGAGCAAAGTTTATAGCTTGGAATCCCCAAATCTCAGAAACCTGAGATGCACCACAAGGTTCTTTTTTCAAAAAAGAGGGAACCTACAGGAAAATGGTCTTTTTCTTATAAAATATGTGTACCTGGGTATAGAAAGAAATCCTTGTATTCCAAACCCTCAGAAAGCGCATTTGTGCTCTTGCCATCATTTAGTTGAGTCCTTAGTTCATAGACACCCTTGTGATCAGTCTCCTAATGCTATCAGCAGAGCTCAGTTAGTAATTTTTGGGACATAATTTCTCAGTTTCACCTCTTTTAAGGTGATCCATAGAACTGCACAATTCAATGTAAAAAGGTACTTCTTACTTTCCAAGAAGTATACATTAAAGGTTTCATCCATACTTTGCTGTGAAATATGAAAAAACATAAATATTATCTTATGTGTCATTATGAAGTTTCATTAAGCAGAAAAATTGCAATTAACAAAAAACATTCTTTGCAATGAAATATATGACATTTTTACATTCATAGAGGTTTATTTCACCATATTTGAGTAATGAAAATAAAAACTTACTATAAAGACTATTTTTTCAATAATTTTATTGATAAACAAATAGCAATGAGACAGTTTCAAATCAAATTGGTAGGACAGTTTCAGTAGTAAACACATTGCATACTCTCTTCCTAGTGGTTATTTGCTGTACAAGATGCAGACATGATATCCTATTTACAAACACTTTTAGAACAAATTCCTCTATTCATTAAGAGAATGTAACTATATATCTATCCTAACCACTTTCAATACAGAGATACAAAATGGACATTCATCTGTATCCCCTTTTCTTGTTAAGTTCAGTTATTTGAATAAAGGCATGTAAACTCAGCAAAATATTCTAAAAGAGTCCAGTAGCCCATAATAGTATTGGGTCTTCTGCTTCACTGGCAATGTCAGAAATTGTTGACCTGAGTCCCCTACAGCTCAGCATAACGGCATGGCTTTACTTCGTATACTTAGTTTTTATACTTTTCTGCTGGATGGTTAAGACCAAGATAAAGCAAGACCTATGCAACAAGAGTTGTAGCTTTTGGATCTTGTAAGGTCAGTCAAATCCCCTCAGGATTTATCCTGAGATCTTGTACCTCAGATTGTTTGTCAGTGTCAGCCATGTGGATGAGTCACGGCCATTGCTTGGCCAATGTCCTCTCTGTGAAAGCCTGAGAGAATGTTTTCTCTCCATGTGACTCTCCTTAGGCACACTTTACATCATCAATCACTTTCCACTTTGGCCCCATAATCTCCTTGATTAGAAAATTTGGGACACAGCTGAGTTACATGACATTACAGTACAAGTTCTCATGTCCTGAGTCATAATTGACCTTGGAAGGCTATGGCCAAAATGGTGGCTTTCCTTGCGGCCCTCCTTTTCATCTAATTTTGGTCTGCAAACTTAGGTTGTTAACCATCCAGAAGACAAGCTTATTGTTTTTACCATACAACTTAGGCTGTTAAACGTAACCTCATTATCTGTCTGCATATCAAACATCTTAGGCATAATATAGAACAGGTATTTTTTCATCAAGTATT